TTTCCATTTTACAATGGCCTAGCTAGGCGTAGAACATGTCAATCTGAGTATATAATATATATATACTAACTATATATATAATATAATATATATAGATAGAGAGAGAAGAGAGAGAGAGTGAAGAGAAACGAGAGAGAGAAAGAGTGGGAGGGGAATAAAGAAGAAATGGGAAAAATAAACCATATCATAGTTCGTGTATTTCTTCAGGTCTGTTTCTAGCGTCAAAAAAAATACATGTATAGTGTGTGAAATATATAGAACGTACACAGTGCTATTTATAATCCTACTACTACAGTTTCTAAAGGAAAAAGCAAAAAACACTGCTAACGACGGAGACCATTCGGAAAACTTCTTGAGGGCAAAATACTCTCTTAAATCATCACACACCAAAAAGAAATCACATTAAAACACAACTAACAATAGAGCAGTCAGAGAAGCAAGTCTTAGTCGAATCTCTCCACGCTCAGACACTGTGGAGTTTCTCAACATTTTTCTTTTTTGATCCTTATGTAGAGTCTTCCCTCTACCCGGACCGTACCCTTCCTCGCCTGTTCAGAACACACAACTATACGGGGTTTTTCCCGGGCATGAGAGCTAGCGAGTGGAATTTAACAGACACCTATCGGGGCAACGCGGCGAATGTCGAAACTCGCTGAGATCTATTTCTACACCCAGTATATTTCAATGTAACAGATGCCGCAACGCGCGAGGATGCTGTGGCACACACGTTGACGCGTGGCCATTACGTCGTGCATCCGGGTCAGATATCACAATGAAATTACCAAAAGAATTTATAACACTCTCATATTAAAACCAGAGAAATACACACAGGAGCAAAACTATTTTTTAAAAGGTTGGAGAGAGAGAGAAGGAGGAAAAATGCAAACACAAAAACACAGTCGCGTCTCGTCAGTTCTCCAGTAAGATAATCACCTTGATGAAAACTGCCAAAATCGATCGGACATCCACTATTGCAACAGAGTACAATACGCACTCTCTAGACAGGGGGATTATCAAGCACATAGTGCGTGTTTTTCATAGATAATTGCCATCAGGACTAACAATTGATTACAACTTGTAGTCCTGAGGCTCAGTGTCATTACACAAACACATAGAGATCAATCATTTGAGACGTGGGATATGTTCTTATCACCAATATAAGAGTGTAAGTTTTATAATGGTAGGATAGACAATTACTTCAATTGTTTGGGTACATGTTTGTTGAACATGCGCATACCCTCTATCATCAACTAATTGTCATAGAAAGAGAGTGCAAACATACTAGTGTCATAACACTGTAATCGGGCATACTGCAGAACTTAAATTTAAGGCGAAATATTTACGAAAAGGATGTGACATACATATCTAAACTACTCTTCGACTCTGTATGTCTACACGGTTAGAGAGACAACGGTATACATCGTAGGAAAACATGGTACAATTTATGCAGTCTCTGAACGGGACGAGAATAGAGGATATTAAAGGAGCGACTTTGGAAGAGTACGACATGAATTGATCGAAGTAGCGATGGTTCATTTAATGTGATTATATTAATACAGGGCAGTTTAGGATACTAACGATGTAGTCTCTTACCGAAAGCACATAGGATTTGCTGCAACAAAAGAATGCGACAGACAACCACTGTATTCCGCGAGATTTTTGTTGAGTGTGTATATAGGGTGCATAACTCCCCCATCACCTGCAATCAAAGTCTCCTCCCATTACACGTCGCAACGCAAACCAACACCCAAGCGAACACAACACTACATCACCACAACGGGCACGAAGCGTAACTAACGCACGCCGATGCCATTACAATCACTCATCTTTCCTATTTCACAGGATTTTATCCCCCCACTCGATCATAGCGCATCTTACCGGCTACTCTAAGAGAGCATTCATCTAGCCTCTATTTAATTGTAATTCCACAAGAGATTTGTAACGAGCCTTACTATTAATATCCAGCTAATTGAACATTATAAAAACAAATATAGGTACTAATCATCAACTTCTATTATAAACAAAACACAGCTAAACCTCTCATATACAATATAAATATAACACTCAGCAAATAAGATAAACAGAGTATTAATTCACTAATCTAAGATCCTATATCCTTTCTTTCTAAACCAGGAAAATCACAAACACTATCATACAAAACAAGCTACTTAATTGGCGCTGGCTTTTTAGCAATTAAAACCTGACCCAACATTCGCACCCTAAATAGGGTATGAACCAACATCTTTAAGTGTGATCTCGTCAACAGAATCAATCGAGCTGTCTCAACAAATAATAGCTCCTGAGCGCGAGCACAACACGTAACTCTGTTAGACCACCTCTCGACATACTCCAGGCTCCACCTTGTGAGAATACAGAGAATAATAATTTCATTCTACGGTCCCCCATAGATGCGGCAATTAATAACAAATTTTTTGAAAATTACTTGTTTTACTAAACCCCGAGGCTACTGAAGCTAAAAGCGAGGTCTTCACCCAGTCTTCATGCGCTCTCGAGTCATCAGACAACCACGAAACAACAAACATTTGGACTAATGGACACACACACTGTCTCCGCATAGCGTAATGCCTTAATCCTCACACACGACGGTTTGAGTCAATTGGTACATTTGTTAACAGTGACTATATCTGACGACTATTCTTTATGTACCGAACTCTGTCCAATAATTACTCTGGCGCCGTGATCAAGCAAAGATTGTGCGATCTGACACACAGATAAATAAACTGAGCGAGAACATCATAGCGAAGAGAGCCTGGACAATTATGATTCTTCCCCGTAGGTCATATAACAGAGTGCCTCCACAATAGTATATTCGCACACCGACTGGTTGTCCTTTCAAAAATTGGAGTGCTGGGTACATGGACAATAAGTCTAGATATGGAGACGTTTCCAGCGCGCACAAATGTGGTGACTATCGGTTGGGGTTACCACTGAGAGAATTAGTATTACTTTAGCGACTCGATCCAAATTTATAATTTTCGCTCATTATTTGCAAGATAGATTTTGGAACCTCTTATTACAACAGTGCTCGTATCTTAACGAAATCGACGATCGTTCATATCTAATGCACGCCACCACTCTTCTTCCCGCGTAATAAAACAGAGCCTGGATCCACACACAATTGCAATAGTCTGCACAGGACGTGATTCCTTATCACACAGTAACAATATCTTAGCGAAGAGTTTAAGCTTGGCTCACATATCACGATCTCTCTCGATTTGAATCCCCATTGAGCATTTTAAGGAAATAACCTCGCAAGACAATTAAGAAGCGTGCGTGCAACACTACTCTTTCACTAAAAACACGACTGCAAGACCTATGAAAGGTCTTCTTCTCGAAGAACAATGGCGGGGCTACTTCCTCCATACAAATCGGTGGACACATTTCTCCTCAGACTGGTGAAGGAAAGTTTAGCCAAGAGGGCGCTTAATCTAACATTCAAAAGAAGTTAGTGAAGCCGTCAATATAGCAGGAGATAACACACAACATACGTTATCATTTATAAACTATATACAAGTACTATTAAACACATACTTTTTTACTTGACCACAGAGTGGGTGTGTCCAACTCTTATCTAATTCCTGTTACATTTCTGAGGATATAAATATTTTTTTTTCTATTATACTTAATTGTTGTTTCTTTCTATTCACTATTTCTCATTTAAACCATATTTCAAGATGTAGCAACTTCATGTCTCCTTCTGTTCCTTTATCTCTCAATTTCCCTTTGTATTTACAGTTATTATTCTTATTCCTTTCTAGATTCAGGTTTCTTCCTTCTACTACAACGGCGATCTTTCTTTCCGTAACTTTAACCTAATTCATAAAAATGCATGACAAAAAGATACATAATCATGAGCAAGGTGGACGTTGTCCACTAGTTAGTCAACAGTCAAGCCCATATATATGACAGATGCTACTAAACGAGCTTGACGCTAAATTCCCCAGTCACCTAGCACCAAAATAAAAAATAAACCCAAACGAATACATTTCATTTAACGTTCAACATTTTACATTGTAGATCATATTAATAGAAGGTTTATTATATTTGTAATACCTGTTTTCCATTCTTCAATTTAAACACCTTTGTATTTTGTAACATTTTTTGCTCCGCTTTATTGTGCGTGGAGTGGTTACGAAAATAACACTTAAAACCCAAACACACAGATTTGGTAATTTTTGTATTTTATCCAAAACACACACACAACACTTACACACACACACACCGTCCACAATTGGACAACAAATCTCTCATCATCTATCGCAATCAAAATTTTTTCATTTTACACATACATATTATTAGTGTTTGAGTTTCGAGTATTCCTCTTTTCAATCAGAAAGATGGAGAGGGAGGGGAGAGTTGGGGTTGTTTAAGGTCACTGTTATTTAATTTTTTTAAGATGGAGCTCTTCTATTACGGCCACAATCTAAAGTACAACACACAAACTGCTATATAGCTGGAAAAAGCAAGAAAAATAGGGGAAGAAAAACTGTTGGTTTAATTACTACTGAAAATATTGTGGGAGGATAATAGAATATGACGCTGCAAGTTTATATGTACTGATAATGATATAGTTAATATGTTAGTGTGAATTACAAGTGTACTAAATTGTGTTATTAAGCATGAAAATAAAAAAAATACCATATGAGGGCTTTTATTAAACCTAAAAAATGGGATTATAAAATAACATCTAAATGAGAGAGAGTGGAGAGAGGAGAGAGAGAGAGAGAGAGATAGAGAAGAGAGAGAGAGAGAGAGAGAGAGAAGAGAGAGATCTCTCTCAACAACAACAACGGAGGAGGAGGAAAAGAGGAGAGATCCTCTCTCTCCCTCCTCTTCTCTCTCCTCTCTCTCTCTCTCTCTCTCTCTCGTCTCTCTCTCCTCTCTCTCTCTTATCACTCTCTCTTCATTTTTAGATGTTATTTTATAATCCCATTTTTTAGGTTTAATAAAAGCCCTCATATGGTATTTTTTTTATTTTTCATGCTAATAACACAATTTTGTACACTTGTAATTCACACTAACATATTAACTATATATTATCAGACATATATATTGCAGCGTCATATTCTTTAGCCTCCCACAATATTTTCAGTAGTAAACCAACAGTTGCTTCCCTAGTTTTTGCTTTTTTCCAGCTATATAGCATTTGGCATACCAAGAGCTCCATCTGAAATAAAATTTATGTAAAGGACACGTAAAACAAATAAATAAATGATTGAAAAGAGGATTATGAAACTCAAAATATAATATGTACAAAAATGAAAAAAATAACAATAAAATGTGTTGTCAATGTGACAGATTATTATATTTCTAAATAAAAAAATTACAAAAACATTTGTTTCAACACCCAGGCAAATAAAGCGGAGCAAAAAATGTTACAAAATACAAAGTGTTTAAATTGAAGAAGAAAACAGTATTTCAAATATAAATAACTTCTATTAATATGATCTACAATGTAAATGAAACTTAAAGAAATGTAATCGATGTTATTTAATTTGGAATTATTGAAGGAATTTAGTCAACTGTTTAAGCACTTGTATGGGCGTGACCACGTCCACTGCACTTTATGTATTTGTATGCATTTTATGAATTAGGTTAGGAAGAGTCGAGAGAGAATCTAAGGAATAAGAAAAATGTATAAGGAGAGAGAAGGAAGAGAAAGGGCTATATAATGCTAATAAATGAATGAAAGAAATAGTAATAAAAAATATATATACAATGACAGACTAAAAATTCCACCCACTTGTAAAAAAAGTTGTATTTATATTTTTAAGTAAGTTGTGTGTTCCCTCCTCTTGCCTTCACTACTTCTTGAAGACGCCTCGGCATACTTTCCTCCAGTCGAGAAATGTCCCTTTGCTGGAGGATAGCCCATTCCTCGAGAAGAGCCCTTTCAAGGTCCTGCAGTGTATCAGGAAGTGTTGCACGCGCTCTTATTCGTCTTCCGAGGTTATTCCATAAATGCTCAATGGGGTTCAAATCTGGAGAACGTGCTTGCCAAGCTAAAACCTCAATATTGTTCTGTTGAAGGAACGTCTGCACTATGCGGGTGACATGTGGGCGTGCATTAGAATAGAACGATCGTCGATTTCGTTTAAGATAGGCAACACATGAGGTTCCAAAATCTCATCAACATAGCGAATGGCTGTCAAAGACCCTCCACGAACCACAACCAATTCTGTGCGGCGCTCCATTGAAATTCCAGCCCACACCATTAAGGAACCACGGAAAAGTTGGCTCTGGGAAAAATTACAGGCTGCATATCTTTCGTTTCTTCTTCTCCACACCCTTTCACGCCTGTCTGGAGATCGAAGAGCGAATCTTGACTCATCTGTAAAAAGTACAGCACTCCATTCGTCCATAGTCCAATGGCTGTGTTCTCGAGCAAAAGCCAGCCGTGTTACTCTGTGAGTTCTGGTCAACTCTTGTCCTCTTACTGGACGAAAAGCCATTAATCAGAAATTTGCACACCTCGAACTTCTTCGAGCTGATGAATTGCTTGAACAACGGTAAGGTGCCGGTTTCGTAAAATTCTCAAAGACAAAAACCGGTCATCCCGCGGTTCTGTTCCCCGAGGCCGTCCAGAACCAGGCCTTCTATTGTAAGAACCAGTTTTCCGAAAACGCCTGATGGCGTCTCGTAAAGTTTCATAAGGAACTCCGATAGCATTAGTTGGATATCTAATGGAACGTCCATCATCAATAAGTGCCACACCAAGCGCTACATCCTCAGCACTAAGAGGCATTTTTAAACTTAATATTAAAAAAATTAAAAAACGGAGACTAAAAAATGTGCTGCAAGAAACGGCACTGAACTAATGATACTGAATAAACATTTTGTAGTAGGCAGATAGAGGTTGATTAGGTATGAAAACTGCTTGGGTTCGTTGTGAGAGAAAAGACTGGAACCAAGAGATGGAACTATTGCAGAAGGATAATGATTTTAATTTGTTGAAAAGGATGGAATGGATAATGGAATCGAAAGCTTTGGAGAAATCAAGAAGTATAAGTATGGTTAGTTTTTTGTTATCTATTGCAGTCTGAATATCACTGGTAATTTTAATCAGAGCAGATTGTGTAGAGTAGACAGGACGGAAGCCAGATTGGAGAGGATCGAGTTGGTTGGATTGTTCAAGGAAGTTAGAAACTTGGGATTGCACTAACCTTTCTAGGGGTTTAGAAAGATTGGAAAGGATTGATATTGGGCGGAAATCTTCGGGAGAGGATGGATTAGGCTTTTTGTTTAAAGGAAGGACAATGGTTTTTTTCCAAGAGGTCGGGAATATTGAATTCTGCAGGGAGAAATTGTAGATGAAAAGGAGTGCTGGGAGGATTTCAGGGAGACATAATTTTATTAGTTTGATAGGAATGCCATCTGGGCCTACGGAATTGGAACGGGATTTCATTATAACGGTAATAAGGTCTGTGGGAGAAATGTCGGAAAAATAAAAATTATTTTCGTTAAAAGGTACCTCTGGAGAAAAGCCGGAAGGGGAGGGTAAAGAAGACGTGGAAACCGATATAATGTGGGAGTTTAGGTCATCAGGTGGTATTGGGAAAACTGAGGAAGGGGATCTAGAAGGTTCACAGAGGGAAAGCTTACGAAGTAGAAGCCATTTTGATTTGATATCAGGAGCTGAGGAAAGGGCTTCATGAAAGTAGTTCGCTTTCGCTTGTCGGATCCTTGTCTGTGTCGTGTTACGAAGCACTCTGAATGTTTGATAATCATCTGCAAGCCTAGTCCGTCTAAAGCGTCTGCGTGCAGCGTCGCGTCTCTTCTGCAGATCCTTAATTTCCTGACACATCCAAGGAGCAGGGCGATGACGGAAGGTGGAGGTTTTGAGAGGCACGTGGGTGTTGAGTATATTGAGAAGATTAGTGGTGAGAATATCAACCAGGAGCAATGATTATTCCATTCAAATCCAATGTTACTAGCTCAGGTAATATTTTTTCTCGAGTAAGGGTATCCAGTTGGCGGAAAGTGATAGTTCGAGGATGGATTGGAGGAGTTATTATACGTTATTTGTATCAGATCGTCAGATGAAAGAAAGGACACTGGCAATTGAGAGGCGGAGAGGAGGTTTTGTGCTGAGTCGATGATGTAGAAGTCTAGCCAAGTGTCAGATCTGCTGGTGTGGTGGTTGGAGGAAAAAGGAACGATGAATAGGTGAAGTGAGAAAAACAGCTTTTCTAAATAGTATTTGTCATTGGAGTTTGAAAGGAAATTGGTATTGAGGTCACCGGAGATAATAATCTGGGATAGAGGGGAACGAAGTTGAATAGGGTTGATTCGAAGGACGGGTTAAATGGCACAAGAGGAGGGCGATATAGCACGGCGTAAAGGATAGGAGAGGTATTACTGAGAATTTCTACTAAGAGGTATTCTACATGAGGATGATCTGAAGGTGGGGAGCAATCGAGGATTCGGGTCTTTAGGCTATTGTGGACAAACATGACTACCCCACCGCCAGTCCGGTTTACCCGGTCATGATGGAGCAGGATGTAATGAGGCAAGGATACTGAAGATGATGGAATATAGGGTTTGAGCCAGGTTTCGGATATTGCTATGATATGAGAAAAGTTTTGGGTAAAGTATTGCAGGAATTCGTCATAATGGGCAGAAAGGGATTGAGAGTTAACCTGACATGTGATTAGGGAACTAGACATACAGAGGATTTGGAGAGAAACAGTCAGTGTTTGGTAGCGAGAAGACAAAACGAATAGAAAGTACAGAAAAGCGGTTATAGTACATGAAACTAGGTGAAGAAAAAGTGTATACGATGATCCCTACACTCTCTATTATCTCCTTTCTTATAAATGGGCACGATCACTGCCACTTCCCAGTCTTTCGGAATTTTCTTTTCCTTCCAAATCAGGTTTAGAAGATGGAGGAATATCTCTTGGCCTTTGCTACCCATGAAGTTAATCATTTCGGGACTGATTTCATCAAGACCTGCTGCTTTGCCTAGCTTGATCTTGTCGATGGCTTCTTGCAATTATTCCTCACTGATGTAGTCGTCTTCGACAAAAACATTCTCTACCCCGCTCCGAGTCTCACACATCTCTACATCTCTACCCTCAAGCAGTTCTTTAAAATAGTCCCTCCATCTTTCCATAATCAGTTCCTCCTGCCAGATGATCTCCCCGTTGTTATCTTTGATTCCTTTAAGTGAAGTCGGTCGGTCCCTCCTCCTTCCTTTGAGGACTTTATAAAATATTTTCCCTGGCATTTTCCTCAAGTTGTTGACCAAAATCCTCCCAAGATTTCCTTTTTGCTTCAAGCACTTTTAACTTGGCATCTTTTTCCCGATCTTTGTATACTTGGTGAGCTTCGGGAGTTCTAAGACTTAGGTTTATGATTGTGTTTAGAAGTTTTTATTTGTTTATTTTCTTTTTCTTTTTATTTACCTTCTTCATAAGTATTATTTATTTACTTCTTATATTTATATTTCTTTCTTTATTATTTGCATATATTGTATGAATGAGAACTTTTAGCCCTAATGCTTATAGCCCTCCAGCAGTGGCTTATTGTATTATTATTCAATAAATAGATTTAAAAACAAAAAGACTTAGTTGGTTCTTCCAAGCTTTCTTCTTTTCTTCAATGGACTTTCTTACGTCTTCTGTCCAGCAGGCAGTTCTTCTAGGACCAGATCCAACACCTTTTTCCCCGCAGACCAATTTTGATGCATCAAGGAGGATCTTCCTAAAAGCTGCCCAGCTCCTGTCAATGTCATTGCAGTCCCAATGTCTGTTGTTGTCTAGGGCCATTCTTTCTATTTCTTCTTGAAAATAGGTTGCCAAGTCATCCTGCTTTAAGCGATATGATTTTATGACCTTTTTCTTGGAGTTCTTATTTCTTTTTGGTGGTTTCAACTCGTTCCAACATCTATTGATTATCAGCAGATAATGATCACTGCCTATCTCAAATCCTCGCTTGACCCTGGCATCCATTACTCCTCGCATTTCTTCTCTTTTGACTAAAATATAATCAATAATAGATTTTTCATTCCTTCCCGCTTCTTCTCTCGTAAATCTATGACATTCTTTATGCGGAAAAAATGTATTTGTTACCATCAGATCATTTGCCTCGCAGAAGTTCAGGATTCGGTGGCCATTATCGTTTATGATTTCCTCACCACATATTCCTAAGGTTCCCGGCCATCTC